TTTTTAATTGACTTGCTAGTCTAAGAATTAAGAACTTACATAATGGTGCCCAGGATGAGTTAAACCTTGGTATACTACTACCATTGTGTCGCGATTTCTGCTTAAGCTGCCTGAGGATGGAGAGAAAGCGTACAACTTCTGTTTTTGTTTGAGAAATACAGAATAAAAAAATGGTTTTCTTGTTTTGGAAGTCAATTCTGTTGAGTGCATGGACTTCAAATATATGCTAATGTCTGAGTGTAAGTTTATTTACTAATTCATTTTCAGAGACCAGGATGATTATGAGATTGTTCGCAAAGTTGGAAGAGGGAAGTACAGTGAAGTTTTTGAAGGTATTAATGTCAACAACAATGAGCGGTGCATAATCAAGATTCTGAAACCTGTTAAGAAGAAAAAGGTAATTGATAAAAAAAGAATTAATTTGAAAATCCCTACACATAGAGCATTACATACTTGGTGCCTGTAAAAGGCATCTATTCCTGCACTGGTCACGTAATATGTCTTGTGAAATTTGGAAAACTCGACATTATGGATTTCTTTAACAAGTTCAAGCTAACCACACTGACCATATGTTCCATTATTTTCTCCAGTTCACCATAGATATCTATTATATACATTTATTTATTTATATGCACTTGGAGTTCAATGATATTGAATAATAATAAATGTACTAAACAAAAATAGATGTTCCTATATATTTATTGTTTAAGATGCACCTGAAAAGTTTAATACTGAGTGTAATCTTTCTTTCTTTTTTTTTTCAACTATGCTAGATAAAGAGAGAGATCAAAATACTGCAGAATCTACGTGGGGGAACAAATATTGTCAAGCTTCTGGACATTGTCAGAGACCAGCACTCAAAAACTCCTAGCTTGATATTTGAATTCGTGAATAGCACAGACTTTAAAGTTCTGTATCCTACATTGACCGATTATGACATCCGTTACTATATCTATGAGCTCCTCAAGGTGAGAGAATATAATTTTGTCGATGGGAGGATAAGTTGCAAACTGTTTTATTATAATTTCCATATTTTTCTTGGTTTCCATAAGAAATGTTTTATAAAAGAGAAAGTTGGAGGGGAAAAATGTATAATAAAAGGGACTGTGGACAAAGCCTATGGTTCTTTATGAGTCTCATGAAAATTGAGTTTTGCTGAAGGGATGTTGGATTGACTGATTCATTGATAATAGAATTATTTGTTGATGAATCAGAAGAATGTGAATTATTCATGAATGATCGGTTACTATGTGAGTATAAATATTTTCTTCTGCTGGAGATTAAACCTGTTTTTTGTTCTTGCAGGCACTTGATTACTGTCACTCACAGGGAATAATGCACAGAGATGTTAAGCCTCACAATGTGATGATAGACCATGAATTGCGGAAGCTTCGGTTGATTGATTGGGGCCTTGCAGAATTTTACCACCCTGGAAAAGAATATAATGTCCGTGTTGCCTCAAGGTAATATTTTTACTGTTTTATCTTTGTAGAAGCTGGTGAAATAATATCCTAAATACATAGCTAGATCAACCCACGCATTCTGCTGTAGAATGAACTATATAATGGACAAAAATATTGAGTCCTGTGTTAAACTCCGTAAACACCTTGATCTGAGTAACGGTAGAAATTTTTTTTTTTTTTCAGCTACCAAATTTTTACCCAGTTGATTGAAGGTTCCCTTTACAGAAGTACCTTTGACTAGATGGTGCTTGCTGGAAGAATAAAATTGTTTTTATTACCTTCTTCCCTTCTAGCAGGGCATTTATGTTGTTTCTCTGCCTTCCTTAGCTTAACTGAAAGCTTAAGCTATCTTATAGTCTCGTGCAACGATCTTTTTCATTTCCATTTTTAATTTCTCTTATTCAGGTACTTCAAGGGTCCAGAACTTCTTGTTGACTTGCAAGACTATGACTATTCTTTGGACCTGTGGAGCCTTGGTTGCATGTTTGCAGGCATGGTGAGGTTTTTTCTACGGGCCTATTCTGGTTTCGTGGGCTTTCTTTTTGTTAGAACATGTTTTATATGCACTCATCTTGTTTCCTGGTTTTAAAGTAGATTTTTCGCAAGGAACCTTTCTTTTATGGACATGATAACCAAGATCAACTAGTGAAAATTGCCAAGGTAACAGAATTCAGCCTGCTCGCAAGCACTAAGCTTCATTATTCAGATTGTTTTATTTTTCATCACTGGTTGTTTTTCATACGTAATTATAACTGAATGTAATAAATTAAATACATTAGACTCACCAGGCATGTATCAAATGGTAATTCATTCAATTATAGAATTTTCAGCAAAAAACACTTGTAATCCTGTTGAACAAAATCAATGAAAGTGCTCGTGATAAAATAACGTTGTACTGTCTCTTTTTAGCTTCGTATCTGATATACGCTTGTCCTCCCAGGTACTTGGAACTGATGAGTTGAATGCTTATTTACATAAATACCATTTGGAACTTGACCCTAAGCTTGAAGCTCTTGTCGGGAGGTAGGTTCAAGCAAAAATTAACTCAAAACCTAAAATTGAGCAGAAAATCCGAGAGGTCTACAGTTTTGTGCATCTATCTTAGAGTTCATTCCTTTTTTTCATTTGGCAGACATAGCAGGAAGCCATGGTCAAAATTTATAAATGCAGATAATCAGCATCTCGTCTCACCAGAGGTCATGTTATATTTTTTTGGCACCCTTCTATCTGTTCTCGTACTTTATCTGATCTTCATGCATGTTATATTTGCTTGGCGCCCTTCTATTGGTTCTCGTATATTTGTTTCTCTATTCTGCATGTCTAAATTACGAATTAAAACTTCTGTAGTGTTTTGAAATTCCTTGTTTTGCTGTAACAGGCCATAGATTTCCTTGACAAACTCTTGCGATATGATCATCAGGATAGGCTCACGGCAAAAGAAGCCATGGTAATAATTTTTTGGTTTTTAAGGTTTACGGGTTCCTCGTTTTCACTCTTTCATAGTTCCACCATTTGTTGTTTATGTTTGTTTTTGTTTTATGGTTTTTTGAAATGTAAGTTCCTTCTGGTGTTCATAGGGCCACCCGTATTTCTCCCAAGTACGAGCTGTGGAAAACAGTCGGGCACGGACCTAATAGGGTCCCGAAATAGTCATTCTACATTAATGAGATTATGATTTGTAATTCATACATATATTATTGTGCCATAGTTGGGGAAAAGTTTTATATTGCCCACTCATCTTTTATCTACACCTTGGTTTTGAATCAAGGGGGGGATTGATTGTTGTATGCATAAAACTTTGACTTGCAGTTGTATGCATAAAACTTTGACTCCATATGATGAAGTGTATTTGCGGACTTCCATAGATATCATGTTCATAGGATCTTAGCTTATATTTGTGGGTTATTTGTAGATAATATTTTAGAATCCGTCTCACAGAAGTCTAGGCTGGGGAACGAAGTGACTTACGGGATGAAATTCAGCGAGGGAAGGATTTAAAGTTGTGAACTTAACAAATATATTATGTGGTTCACAATTCATCTAAATAATTGACATTTGTCAAAATTTATGTGATAACAACATTTACGCATTGGAGATGCTCTAAAAGCTTTACAAGCACTTTGAAACATTACAAGGGACATTATCCACTTCCGAATCACAATGCAAACGATAAATAAGGCAAGAAAATCTCACACAAAAGTGGATGATAGTCTCACATATCCAAATAAATATATCACAGCCAATATAAAAGTTTAGTGCTAGAATGCAAATAAGTTCATAACAATCATTCATGATAATACATAAACCGATTAATGCAATACAAATACTTGCACTTTCCACACAATTGTCTTAACCTCTGAAACCTTCAAAATCCGATAAATGCAACATACTAAATGCTTGCACGCAAATCATTCTTGCACGATTACTCTTTCATTGAGAGATCACTTCTTTAGATGTGGGAAACACGTGTACACGTCAGCCTTTGGATGCTTAGCTTCAGCGTGTTCTCTGCACTTCACCTCAGTGGTAGTGCACATGAATGTCTGCATACACACCTTACACTGCATCCATTGTCNAAAAAAAAAAAAAAAAAACAAAAACAAAAACAAAAAGAAGGAAAAAAAAAGATCAATTAAATAATTTCCAGAACATTAGAAGGAGACCCGAAATGTGTCATAGAAACTATTAACTCAGACCAAGAATTAGAACTTAGAAGAATAGCCCACAACAAAAGAATGGGACATGGAAGCAACATTAACAATATGTTCGTACATTAATCAAACAATAAATGCAAGCAAGTGAAGAAAGAAGAAACAAATCACTTTTGCAACAAAATTCTTTTGACAAGAATATTATGTTCATTTCATTAAGCCAAAGGACTACTGTCCAGCATAACGTTTGGAAGAAGATAAAAAAAAAAGCTACATCTTCAACTTCTATCTCCAACTTTTACATAATAACTTACATCTCCAACTTTTACATAATGCCTTAGCAAAGAACCACAACCCATTCACAAATCAATGTGATTTATCAAACACATTCAAATGTGTTTGCCATATCCAATTAAGAAACAACTTAAAGCTAAAGGTAGGCATAATGCCCCAATTTGTTCTTTTAGACATAAATCAGCCCATAGGCCAACTTCAACTTTCGGATAATTGGCATAGTTGTTCCCAGTTCCCAGCAAGTATGCATATTATAGTGCTTATCTAGTGTCTGACATAATTTTAAAAAGTATGTCAAGCAGGCCTACAACAAAGTGCATCCAGCACCTATAATGAACACCATTTGAAAATCAATCAAAATTTGTAAACACCCTAATCAGTAAAAGAAAAATTTAAGTTATTCTTAACACAAATGTCATGATATTGACACCACAAATACATAAAGTCCGAGCAAAACTAACAGAAACTGAGAGCTTGTCCTGTGGTAAATCAAGCACGGAGACCTTCAATTGGGCAGGAAGACCCTTTCTAGCACTTAGTTTAAATGTCACCAGACATTCCAATGCAATAAAAAATGCCAAAAGAATCATATTTATATTTGAACATTTAAAATAACTATACTAACAACCATCAAAGGAAATGCTTCAACCATGGCTTCCAAAAGAAATGTTTGATAAAGCCCTAATACTAACAAGACTTTTCCATTAGGCGCGACGGAATGGGACACTTGAAGACCAATCAAGACTTCATCTTTTTCAATCACAGCAGCTTTCAGGAAAACATGTCCAAATATTTATTAAGTAACTACAAATGTATGAACTGAGACATTTTATGAACAATCACAAGCACCATAAGATCAGTATTACGCAGATGACTAACCATAGACTCCATCTAGCTATATCTAGAGGAGGGTCAGTGAAAGAAGGAAAAAAGAAATTGAATTATGCAATTAATAGAACATCTCATCTCATACTGTGTCCACACAATTAACCAACACGGGAGATTCATCAAAGTTCGCAAAATGTAAGGAATTGATATCAAATGTAAACACATCAATATAACAGGATAGAAAAATATCCCGGCACATAGATCAGCTCAACGTCAATCAGCACTTGAAAAGGAAAATTGCAAAAAATTATTACCTGAATATTCATGGCTTTTTTGTTCGCATCCAGCTGGCTTCCTGCACGGATCAGGCAAATCAGAACCCAACAACAATGGAAAACAATTCGGTGAACACACACGCACACACACACACACAAATAAATCAAAGAAGCACGAAAGAACCTTTCGAAGCTTTCGTTTTCTCTAAATTCTTCTCACGCGCCATCTTGGCTTTCTGGCCATTACCACCACCCATAGTTCCGGTGAACCTTTCCTAACCTTCCTTTGATCTGACGATCGGAAGAATGTTAAGTTCTAGGATCCCAGAAATACAACTCTTTTTTTTTTTCAGTCGGTACAATTCAACTCTCCTTTGATTTGGTTTGAGAGTGGAGACGGGCGCCGTGGACAGCTGCAAGGGCTAAAGGCCAAATTTGGGTGCATATATACAAAAGCCAATTTATTATAGGGAAATTTTTATGAATGCTATGTGATTTTAAATTAATTGCAATTTTATCATACAAGTAAAAATAATTATGTTTCTACTTAAAAGATCTTATTTATTTATATCAATGCCTAAAGTAAGTTACTATATCATTCACACTTCCATCCCTTTTTTATGCACTTGTTAAGAGAGAGAAATCTATTACTATATAATAGAGAGAAGAAAAAATGTTTGAAAAATATTTTCATTTTGCCGCTCACATCCTTTTTTTCCCCCTAAAATTTTATTTGAAATTTTTTCATACAATTTTTCCTTATTTTGGATGAGATTCCTGCCATATCGGATAAATTTCAGTTCCTTTTAATTTGGGAAAACCGATTTTTGTTTTAGCAATATATTTGACTTTTTTTTTTTCAAGCGATTATGTTTATCTTCTGTTTAAAATTGAAAAAAAAATTGTGAACCAATCAACTAAACGACTTACGGATTATGCGGTAGGCAAATAATACACTATTTTTTTACATAAATAATTCACCAATCAACGAAAAAAAACGGATTACAAAAAAATTTGTAGAATCCTATATAACTCCATCATTTCTTTAGAACTGCTTCTTCACTTCGTCCAGCTAAAACAATACTGAAAAATAGAGAAACACGGTCTTAAAAAATAGAGAAAAAAAAAACCAGTGTTTGATAGACTACATGCGGTTAGTAGGGCCAACAAGCCCTATTTGAAATTAAGAGCACTTCTAATTGTTCAGACCCAATACAATTTGGAGATAAGAAATTTCTCTGAGATCATTTTCCAAGATGAAGAGGTAATATTTTAAAATGTTATGTACAAACTACATTCTTACGCAAATTAATTAAGTTATTTTGTATAAATTTATATTGTAGTATGCACAAATCTATTACTATATAATATAGTTAAGAAAGAATAAGAAAAAAATCCGAAAGTGGAAAATCATTCTCCCACTACTTTTTTTCGATTTTTACCCATAATAGAATTTTTTTTTGAAATATTTTGCTAAATCCCGCCAATGTTTTTATATTTTTTTGGACTGATTTTGAATGAAGTTTAAGATAAGATGCATTAATTGCGGCTGAAATATTTTACTAAATCCCGGTGTGTGTGGAACAAATATATCAATATCCTAAGATGCATGAATTGCGCCAATGTATTAGATAGTAATTGATAGACCATTATATTTTTTTATTTTATTTTCTACTACACATTACATATCAATATCCTAATAAAACCGGTGTGTATGGAACAAATAATTCAATAATCCAAATCTATAATTCTATCGAAAATATATACCATACTAATAAAAAATCTTATTTAATCATAATAATATCTACAACATCCGAACTATTACTATATAATAGAGAGAAGAAAAAATACAGAAAATAATATGTAAGTTTTCCGCTCATTTTTTCGCTTTTTATCAATAAAGGATTTTTTTTTTTTTTTTGAATTTTAGACATTTAAAGGAAAGATCACAAACAGATTTTTTGGGTACATTCTATTTTATCAAAATTTGTTTAGATTTATATTTATATTTTATTAATATGTTTTAAAGAGAATCAATAAATGTTTATCATAACTTTTATTTTAAAAATAAATTTGAATTATCATACCTTTTACTTTATATGAAACTCAAAATTATATAGTTTAATATATTAATAAACATTTATTATTTAGTTTTTTCTTATGTGATATAATCAAAATTCGGTATTACATTTTTAAATTCAAACATTTAAAGAAAAAGATCCTAAGCAGATTTTTTGGGTACATTTCATTTTGTTTTAACTTCCATATAATCACATTCCTAACAAACTAATTAATACAATTACAATTATATAACTGGAATTTTTAAAATATAATTAATATAATATTTTAACTAATTAATCTTTTGTCTAACCAAATTTATCTTATTAACAAACTTGCCAAAATTTTTTAAATTAAAATAGTAAGATTATTCTTACGGGTATAATTACCAGAATATTAAACACTTTAAAAACTTTTTGAAAACAAAGTTGAATTATTTCGTCTTCTATTCTATTTGAAATTCAAAATTAAAATTTTAAACATATTCATAAATATTATTATTTATTTTTTCCTTATGTGATATAATGTAAAGGTGGTTATTAGATTTTTAAATTCAAACATTTAAAAGAAAAGGCCATGAACAGATTTTTTGGTTACATTTCATTTTATCTTAACTTTCATATAATCACAATCCTAACAAACTAATTAGTATAATATTTTTTTACCCACATTTATATAATTGGATTTCTTAAAATATAATTACTATAATAGTTTAACTATTTAATCATTTGTATCACTTATTTAACTCATTAACAAACTTGCCCAATTATATATACAATAAAGTCTACAAAAAAGTTTAAAATATGAGCTCCTCCGTGCATCGCACGGGATATACACTAGTTTTATTTTATTATACTATTATATTTATATTTTATATCTATATCTATATATATATTAAAGTGAAGCAGCTAAAAATTCCCTCCAAAACTATATTAATTACTAGAAATAAATTTTACCAACTTCTATGTAAAATTTTCATCAAAAACTACATTTACTACATTGAAATAAATTTTTATCAATTACTATGCATGATTTATCAATAAAAACATATTTGTTACTACATATGAATAATTAATTTGTATTTATAAATGTATTGAAATTTGCACTCCAATTTCTCTTGGCTAACTAAATGTTTCAACTACTTATATGACCATGAAACAAATTTTGTTAATTTCTATGTATTATTACCATTCAAACGATATCATAATTATTTGTTACAAATAAATACTTATTTTAGTCATAATCAATTATTGTACAAATTTTCATTAAATATTTTTATGCTTTGTGAGTGACATAATTATTTGTTACAGATAATATTTAATACTATACATAATTTTATTATGAATTCTCATTTCAATATCTCACTTATTATTTGTCTCTCTTCCCATTTGTGAGTATGAGTTCCTTTTCTTATATATTATTTTTTTTTCTTATAAAAATAAATTATCAATCTCATTTAATTAATCATTAAAATAGTTTTTAAAGTAAATTTTTTATTTAAAATCATTTATTTTTTTATACATATTTATTTATTTTTGAATATCAAACACAATATTAATTTTTTCGGTTATATTCGAAATATTTCAAGGTAAAATAGAAAAAATCATAATTAACACAATATATGCATGTAATATAATAAATAAATATTTTTATAGTTTTTAATTTGATATCTATATTGCGTATATATAGATAAACTTTTAGATTCGATATGTCAATTTAAAATTCTATGTCGTTCATTTTAACATACACATGTTCAATGTTTACATATAAATATCTAATAATAGCACTAGGTCACGTTTGACACATACACTCTAATATGATGGAATTTTCGTACACATTAATAAAATAAGTAATCATCTCTTATTAATTGTTCATCAGTCAGAATCCAATCAGAATATTAAATCATCTGCTCATGACTCATCAAACAGCTCTCACAATGATCTTCACATAACCACAGGAGTCTCCAAGACCCTTAACCATACAACACAGTCCTTACAACCTATGGAAACTGATACCAGAATCTTACCCCTTACCATTGTGAACTCTACCATGACTTCTCAAACCAAGTCCAAAACTTGGAAAAGGGTTGGCTCTAAAGAGGGCAGATTACAACGATATGAAGAGAGTCCTCAGCATATGGATAGTTCTACAAGTGGTAAAAGACCCAGATCAGAACCAGTAGGAGATAAGGAAACAGGGGAGGATCAAACCCAACAAGTCAAGGATAGCAAGAAGTTCAAAGCATCTTCGAAAGAGGTGGAGGTTGCCAGCCTGAAATGGCACCCAAGTTCTCCATGATAGCTGCGGTGTGGAACTGTAGAGGGCTGGGTGGGCCCTCTACAGTTTCCCAAATCAGAGAGACTCTAAAGTCTCATCGCCCAGTTTTTATGTTCTTGTCAGAAACAAAAAAAAAAAAAATGCTGCTTTTGTAAAAACTGTTATTAGAAGGTTAGGCTTTGAGGATAGATTTTCTATGGTTGATCCTCAAGGTCTAAGTGGGGGTCTTTTACTTCTTTGGAACCCCTTTATAAATATTTTGCAAATTTACAGTTCTTCTTTCTTTATTGCTGTTTGTTTTCAGTTGTCTTCTTCTGAACCCCAATGGGGAATCTTTGTGTATATGAGCCCCTGCAGGCATCAGAGAACTATTCAGTGGGCTACTTTAGAATCTGAAAAGCAGAAATGGGGAGCACATTGGTTTATGGTGGGAGACTGGAATGACCTGAGGTCCAGTTCTGAGAAACTTGGTGGAGTTCAAAGACCTGTAAGCAGCTTCATCGGCTTCAACTCATTTATCAATTCTATGGAAATGGAGGAAGTCCGAATGCTTGGCTATCAATACACTTGGTGTAACAACAGAAGTTCTGAAGGAGTAGTGGAGGAGAAACTAGACAAGGCCTTTGGCTCAATGGAATGGATGCAGAAGTTTCCTAATGCCAAAACTCTAAACTTGGTGACTAGCTCCTCTGATCATTCAATCATTTTAATTGACCCTGGAGTTCCATTGGAAAGAAAGAACAGAAGATTTCACTTTGATAGAAGATGGATTGATAAGGCTGACCTAGTGGGAGTAGTGGAAAGAGCTTGGCAACTTCCTGTTTTGGGCACTCCATTTTATCAGCTCAAGGAAAAAGTAAAGAACACTCGCATTGCTCTTTTGAAATGGAGCTCTCAATTCCATACTCAAAATCAGCTTCAA